TTAGAACACTCGTGTTTCAGACACCAGCACTAAGACCTGTATAAGACAGTATTATGTTAGGACCCTGCTGAACTTACCATATCACCACAGAGGGAAACAGAAAGGACTTTAGCTTAGAGGCTTCTCAGCGTCAGTGCCCAAGACCTTTATTTATAGGTCCCAGATTCCTCGAGCTGTCTTCTGAGTTTTGCACTCATGGGACATCAATTCCTCCAGCTCTGCTACCCTCTCCAAACAAACGATTTCCCTGATAAATGTCCTAGAAATTCCCAGAAAAGGACTGGGTTCAAGGCCGTAGTTTTAACTTAGACTATGATGTTCCATGGATTTTGGAGCACCGAGGGATTCTGGAGTACGAGGTTTATTCCTTTACGTACACCGGCTCAGAGGAGTCAGTCTCCAAATTCTGAGCCCCGAACAAAAGATTCTTGGGGAATATATAGATTAGGGGTCTTCCTATCTACATGGCAAAGCAGGATACAGAAGCAGAATGTGGTAATTAGTTCTATCTACAGGGCAGAAGCAGAGTTCAAAGGCTAAATGTGAAAATTGGTTCTATCTGTGGGGGTGCTAGCCCTAGTCCTAGTGACTATCCGGCTATCTGCTTTATCTGCTCTTCCTAGACGGCCTTATTGTTCTCCTATGGCGCCTGGGGTCTTGGGTGAGCAAAGGTCTCCTAGTACCTCTCCCTTCATTTCCAGTCCTCACTATCCCGCCACCCGCCCTCCCAGACGGCCCCATCATTCTCTCTAGGGCGCCTGGGGTCTGGGCAAATAGAGGTTAAACAGAGGTTTTTCAAAGTTTCCCATATCAGTTTACCTGCAACTTTGTTTTGTAATTGAAGTCTTTAGCCAATTACACTTACTGTAATTATCAGCACCTTTGTTTCATGTCCATTATTGTTTTGTTTCTTCATTGTCCCATCTATTTTTAGTTATAGCTTTGCTCACTTTTTTTGAATCTTTAAATCTAAACAATTCACATGTGTTTCAATATTCTATTTTATTTTCTCAATTGACATTTTGACCATTCTCTCTTCTTTGTTTGTTTGTTTTGTAATTGCTCCTTGGATTATGGTATGTAACCTTAATTACAGAGTCTACCATGAAGTAATATTATACTGCCCTGCAGGTAATGTGAAAACTTTCAACAGTTTAATTCAATTTATCTATTTTTAACCTGTATGAGTTATTGCCAAATATATATTTCTACATGTTATTAATTTCTCAACATGTTGTCATTTTTTACTTTAAAATGTAAATTATTTTTTTCAGAAATTAAGAAAATAATACTTTATGTTTAATCACATATTCTCTTCTTTTAGCATTCTTCATTCCTCTTTGTTTATCTGAGTTTTCACTTTGTAGATTAGTTACTTTAACCAGATAATTTCTTTTAGCATTTTGTGTGCAGGTCCAACAGCTTTGCATTTTCTAAGGTTTTGTTTATCTGTAACTATATGTATTCATCTTCTTTTTGAAAGATAATTTAAAACATTTACTAACCTCCTCCAGAAAATAGAAACTCCAAAACCCATCTCTTTCAGTTGTCATTAGTTTGGATCTACTGTTTAAGGCAGGGTTCATTAGAGAAAGGACCCTTAGATGAAGATTAGCATAAAGGGGTTTTTTTTGTTCTTTTACAGTCTGCGTGTAGACTTTCAATAAAAACACCTATAAGGATATAGAAAAAATTCCTGAGTAGGTTACTGGAAGAGATGGTAAGTGGAGCCACTCTTACTTTGTGTATCTTTGTTCCCAGACACATACATGCTAATTATTGAGGTCTAGCTGTATACAATGATTGTTGTATTATACACATTGTATCTGGAATACATTGTCCCATCTTCACAGGATATCACTATAAGGTGGCAACTGAACTATACCTGTTCCATTTCGGTAGCAGCTTGGAAACTTTTGGCTGGTGCAGTATATGATAAGACCATGACCATGTGTCTGCTGTTGTAATTATTTGCTCTAAATTGCATGCTTTTGTTGGATGTAATGTTACTTGAGATCTTGTGTTAGTGGATCAGACATTCTATAAGCTATAGGATACTAAATTGGCCATTGTGTTGCAAGAAGAAAAGAAAAGAAAATCTATTCTCATTATATGTGTCAATTTCTGTCAAATTGATTTGCTGCCACTGTCAGGGTGGAATAATTTTCCACCAAGTGGCTTATTTCTACTCAAGGGAGAATGCTACATTAAGTGTTTAACATTGTTTTTGGTAACTGCCATGTTGATGGTTAGTAGAAAATAAAATTTGATCAGCCTTGTGCAGTAACTATTACTGCTATCATAGCTACTTCATTGTGCCAGCACTGGGGTTTGCTTATGTCAGAAGCTAGATGATAACATTTATCAGGCCCATTCTGTGTACTTGGCACTTTAGGTCATCTTCTATGATACAAAGAACCAGATAAGCATTGATCTGCGCTATTTACAGATACAGAACATTTGCATTATGAGAAAATCTGCTCCTCCATTGCAGCTGTGGTTAATCACTGTTTACTTTCTGTCATTACAGATTATATTTGTCAGTTCTAAAGTTTCATATAAATTGAATTAAGTACTACATATTCTTTTATGTCTGGTGACTTTCACTTAGCATCAATTTTTTTTAAGTTCATTCATGTTGTTGCATGTATTTGCAATTTATTCCTCTATATTATTGCATAATATTTCATATCAATATACAATTTTTCAAAAATAAGATGTATTTTGCATCATTAAAAGTATGAATTTTAAACAGATTTTTGGACTCATGGATAAGATTCATCAGCTCATTCAAATTTAGCATCCATCTCATCCTCAGTACCTTTTTCAGAACTACTGCCTTCAGCATGAAGCATCGTCATGAGTTTTCCCAAGTCAAATTTGGGCTTCTTCAGCATTTTTACTTTTCTAATGAACATACATAGAAAAGGTAAATAGATTGTCAAATCTTTGTCTATGTCTTCTCTAATGCTGTCTGGAATTAATTTGTTGATTTAAGAACTTCCCTACTGGCTTCTGTCTAAGGGGCCTTTAGCTGATGTAGGGGGTAGAGAAGCCTTGCTCGTATCACTATCATCAGTGTTCTCCTGGATTTGGTGTCTGTTTCTATGACTCCTGGCCTTCCTCCTTACAGAAGCTTTGGCTTCTATAAATCAAAAGCCAGTAATAGACTTCATGTGTTTCTGCCGATAAGTAAGTAAGTAAGTAAGTAAATAAGTAAATAAATCCCATCAGCTTCAGTCAGGGTCTGCTATTTTTCGATTAGAGAGTACATTTTGTCACAGTTAAGATCCACACCATGACAGATGATCAGGAATCCTTATGAGGATGTTTTTGTCAAAAACATCCTCATAAGCCCTGACTGGTGTACCTTAGTGGACTGAGTGTGGGCCTGCAAACCAGAGGATTGTGGTTCAATTCCCAGTCAGGGCACATGCCTGGGTTGCAGGCCAGTTCCTGGCAGGGGACACACGAGAGGCAACCATACATTGATATTTTTCTCCCTTTCTCCTTCCCTTCCCCTCTAAACACAACTCCATTGTTCCACACAGCAGGAAAACTCCTTTAAAAATATGGACTTTGAGTGGATACAAGATGGTAGAGGAGTGAGTGGAAGTTACATTAACCTCTTTCTAGGACCAACCTGGAATTGCAACTAAATTGTGGAGAACTCATCCAGAATAAACAACTCTTGAAAACCTAAACTAGGGCTTTGTTGGACAGTTTACATCTGAAGAAATGACTACTGGGGGGCAGAAGATGTGGGGTGTGTGAGTGTGTGTATGGTGGGGATGGGATTCCATGGCCTGAAAGTTAAAAGAGATTTTATCAACCCTGATACTAATAGGGTTCCATTTACTTGACAGTATTACAAATAAAAGTAACTCTTATTGTTAATTAAAAAAAGAAAAATCCCTTGTAAGCCAATCTAGGACATAATGTGGGGGAGGAATGTTCAGGAAATTTTTGTTGAAGCAATTATTAACACTGGTATTCACTGATTATTATGTTAAAGAGTATATCATAGTGTATAAAATAACTATTTGAGATAAATACTAATTTTTACAACACTTAACAGAGGAGCAAACATTTGCTTAGAGGCCTAAGCAGCGTACCTAGATGATTACACAAAAAAGATTTGTGCAGTGTATGGAGAAGGAGCGTGACAGATAGAATGTGTCAAAAGTGGTTTGGGAAGTCTTGTGCTGGAGATTGCTCACTAGATGATGCTCCACTCATTCTGGTAGACCAGTTGAAGTTGAGAGCAATCGAATTGAGAACAATTAATGTTCTGCCATGTGAGAGACATCTGGCATACTCAAAATATCCAAATCAATAAAGTTATTGGTAAAAATGAAAAATGTGTGTTTTATTTTACAGAAAAAAATGAACAGAGTTTTTGGCCAACACAATACCTACCTCATAATTTTAAGAATTAAAGTAGTCTATAAATCTACTTTCTAGCATTTAATATTTATTACCATAGTATAGATATTTTCAAGAATCTCTGATTATTTTCTTAGACTATTATTTTCAAACTTCCTTTCAAGAAGTCAGGAACTTTCTTATGAAACCAACAAGAGGATAACTGAAGATTCTGTGAAGAAACAGAGAAAAAGATTCTGAATGCCTATCACTGACTCACCCAAAGCAGTCCTATTTCTGGTATTTGGATAAAAATGTTGGAAACTGCCACCTTAGGATAAATTGTTATAAGCGAAATTGCTATACTGGAGAACATAAATAGGTTTAATAATTTTAAATAAATGTTGAAAATTGCATTTTATTAATAGTATGTCAAATATGCTTCTGAGTACAGTATATGAAATAACTGCTTCTCCTTATCACACTGAATTTTATCCAAAAGTATGGTTCCTTTTTGCTTACATGATTTTCAGATCTGGAAAAAGAGCTCATATTTCCACTCATGTCTATTTTCAATAACTCTGAGGTCCAGCTTTTTTTTTCTGATTGGAATCCCAGGACTGTAATATGTCCACATGTGGCTCTTCATCCCCATTTGTTTCATGTACCTGGCTACCATGATGAGCAACAGCACCATTCTCTTTATCACAAAGACAGAGCCTTCACTTCACAAGCCCATGTATTATTTCCTTGTCACGTTGGCCATCTCTGACCTGGGCCTCTCCTTTTCCTCCTTTCCTTTCATGCTGAGAATCTTGTTTAATGTCATAGGAATTTCACCAAATGCCTGCTTTGCCCAAGAATTCTTTTTTAAAAAATATTTTATTTATTTATCTTTAGAGAGGAAGGGAAGGAGAGAAGAAGAGAAGTATCAATGTATGGTTGCCTCTCGTGAGTCCCCTGCTGGGAACTGGCCTGCAGCCCAGGCATGTGCCCTGACTGGGAATTGAACCGGGATCATGTGGTTTGCAGGCCCACGTTCAGTCCACTGAGCTACACCAGCCAGGTGCCCAAGAATTCTTCATCCATGGATTTGGTGCTGGAATCCTCATCATTCATGGAATCCTCAGTGCTTCTAATCATGTCCTTGGATTGCTTTCTTGCCATTCACAATACACTGAGATATAGTTCCTTCCTCACTAGCAAAAGAGTTGCTAAAATGGGACTGATTTTAGCCATCAGAAGCATTTTCTTAGTGCTTCCATTCCCCTTCACTCTAAGGAGACTAAAATATTGTCAGAAAAATCTCCTGTCTCACTCATTCTGCCTGCATCAGGATATCATTAAGCTGGCCTGCTTTGACAACAAGAGCAATGTTATCTATGGCTTCTTTGTTGCTCTCTGTACTATGCAGGACTTGGCATTAATTGTTGTGTCTTACACACTGATCTTAACTGTGCTCAGCATTGCATCTCTGGCAAGGAGGCTCAAGGCCCTGAATACCTGTGTCTCCCACATCTGTGCTGTGTTTGTTTTCTATGTACCCATCATCACCCTGTCTGCCATGCAACGCTTTGCAGAGCACAAAGGTCTCCTCATTGTAGTTCTTATTGCAGATGTATTTTGTTGTTGCCACCCCTGATGAACCCCATTGTGTATTGTGTAAAGACTTGACCAATCTGGGAGAAGATCTTGGGGAAGTTGTTGATGATAAGCAGGAGAAAAGAACTTGAATATTGAGGTAATACATTATTAAACAATAAGTATTTATTGTCACCTACTATGTGTTCAGTACCCCATGTGTTCAGTGGTCACTATTTCATGGAAAACTAAGGGGATGTGTGAAAAGCTGTGCTGCACAGAATTTATAATAAACTCCAAAATATGATTTTAAACAGAAAAGTTGAAATAGTCAGGTGGTACACAGAGGTTTAACATTTTTAAGAGTAGTTGAAGCAAAACATTATGTAGTGAAGCAGGCAGATTTACTCCTTAAAGAAGGGATAAAATTTAGACAAATTGAGATTATTTTTCAAGTAGCATCTATTAAATTTATATGTATGTAATGCATAGTCACTATACTATGGAGGAGAAGTAGACTAGTAGGAACATAGCAGCTACGAAGGATGTTAGTCTGGCTGGAATAGAGAGTATAATTTGGCAAATAGGGAGAAATAATTTTGCATGATATGGATAAAGCAGATTTTGGTATACCCAGAAAAAGCTTGAAATGTCTAAATTTAGGAGGTCCCAAAGAGACAATTTCATCTCTACAACAAACAACTAAGATAAAAAATCAAATGTTAAGAATGGTATGTCTGCAAATATAAGTAATATGGACTGATTTGAGAGACATGAAGATACCAGATGGACGGGACACATTGTAATAATTCTACTAAAGTGGTGGTTCTCTGGGCAGAGAGACAGGAAAATACAATTATTTAGGGTTTTTGTTGTTTTGCTTCCATAGTCAGATGTCTCTCTGACCACAGGCAGGAAAGGTTCTCTGCTCTTAAACGTTTGTGTAGTTATGTTGGGTCACCTGGATAATCCAGGATAATCTTCTATCTCAAAAATCTTTACTCTTAAGTACATGTGCAAAAAATGCCCTTTGTCCTGTAAGGTAATATATTCACAAATTTCAGTGATTAAGACATTAAAATCTTTCAGGGGGAAGGAGTGGGGAGGATTTAATATGCCTTAGACACAAGCATTTCTCCAACTTCTCTTTCTCCCACTTAGCTATTTAGCAGGATTTGGTTTAAATATACTGTTACTACTTTGCTAACACCTGCCTGCTTCAAGGATAATAATTTTATAACTCAATTTTGTTTCCTTTCACCATATACTGATTTCTACAATGTAATTTTAACAATCATTAACCTGTAATTTTTTAAACATTTTTGCCTTTGCCATATTATAAGTCCCATGATTTATGAATGTCTGAATGTCTTACTTTTTGCATTGCTTAACACATACTTGGGCAAAGAAGGGCTCCATTAATATTTGTTAGCCATTTTGTGAATTAATGAGTGACCATCATTGAATAAAAGCACTGCTCATTTTCTAACCTCAAAATTTGGGGCATCTCTGTGGACAGAGGCCTGACATTATACTGTCAATCACGTCAGGTTAGTGCACACGATCACTCCCTTAGGCAACTCCTTTCTTGCTGCTACAATCATGCCAAACCTAAAGCAATGGTGTACTGTCTGCCAAATTTTGCTGTCTGCTTAGCTCAAGAGCAGGAAATACTTCCCCTACTACTCCTCTCAACCCAAATATATTCTTACATCTGTGTTCACTATCTCACCTTATTTTCTACACCCAAACTGACACAATTTCTCTAGAAGTTTTTCTCTCAATAATTTCTCATTTTTCCTGTTCTTCTCATCCAGTCTACAAGAATCCTCATCTCCAATCGTCATCCTCCCATGCAAGAACTTTTTGTTGCCTTCTAATTGGACCCTTTGCATCAATCTCACCCTCCAATTTGTTCTCTACTTTGCAGCCAGTTATCTTTAGTAAAACTAACACAGGCTATATTATTTACTTACTGAAAACACTCTCATTCTCTCCTACTACAACTGGGGTAAAAAACAAAGACCATGCATGGAACCCCCAAAAATACTCATGATCTGGCAACTGCTGCCTTATTTCATGCCAAAGGACTGAAAACACCTTGACATCTTTTATTGTAGGTAGGCATTGTAAAACCTCAAGCTGTAACAGACAATAGCCAGAGAACAGAGACTCTTACAAGAGGGGAGGAGCCATAGAATTCATAGATTAAAAATCTATGATTCTAAGATTAAGAAACCAGATCACAGAGAAGAGCAGTCACTTTCTTAAGCCCATGCGACAAATAGTAATAAATAACAAGGGGGGGCATGGAAACAGGAGGGAGGTGGGGAGGGCTGGGGAGGTGGGCCAGGATGGGGATAAAATCCAGAAAACTGTACTTAACAACAATGAAAATTAAATTAAATTTAAAAAATAAATAAACCTGAGAGATTAAGAGTGAAAAAAAAGAACGGAGCTCAGACATTTTTCATATGTTTTTGACTCAATATCAGTCTACTAAAGAAGTTATTATAAGCCCTGATAAAGTCTGAGACAAAAATTCAATATATAAAAGAAAGGGAGAAATTGGATGAAAGAAGAACTTTTTCTGGTCAGAAATACACCTCATTTCTTGGACTTTCCAAGGGTAGGGGCCTGCAGGTTCGGTCCTAGGTATGGTAAGTAGAGGAACTGAAATCATGAACGATGAGGTAAGAGAGATGGTGGTATTTCACCCTGGTTTATTGTTTTGTGGTAAGACTGGTAAGAGGAAGTAAAATATTGGATGGATAAACTTACTGCTCTGGAGAGAAAAGGCCATGGAATTGAGAAACAGACTCACCACATACACTTAATTATTAAGGTATTACTTGTTCCATACTTTACCAAATATGCTATGTATAGTATTTCATTTATACTTACAAAAATGATCTGAAGTAGATAATACTCTCATCTAAAATTTACAGCTCAGAGAAATTGAACAATTACTAAAATTGCAGACTTGAGGACTGGACTCAGGTCCTTTCAGGGCCATAGTCTTTATTCTAAAGTCTTATACCACATTGTCTTTTATGATAAAAAGGAAAAAAAAACAATGATAGAAACTGGTTTTTTTTTTGTGTGTAATGCTGATAGGCTAGAGTGCCAACTAATGGTCCACAGGACAAAGCTTGCTGGATAACTATTTATTTGATCCTTGTAACTGTGGAGTATTTAAATAATTACATTTCCCATAAGAATCTGAAATTTTATTTTATTTTTAAAAACCAGCACATCGACCGTAATAACTATTCTTGGTGTCAAGTGAATGACTACTAGTCTTAATGACAGGGGAATTTAACAGTTAAACATTTTAGCTTTGGGCATAGTTGATAGGCTTACATCATTAATGCACTTGGAATGGTGTTATTCCAGGAGCTGGAATTCAGGACCATGTGACTCCAGGAGGTTGACAAGCAATTCAACCTTTGTGCCCCAGGCAGTCCTCAGATGTGGAGATGGTATCTGAGCCATTGTGTTCTAGGGAGGGAACTCCTGAGATGCAAATAAAGAAGTGTTGATCAAAAAACTATGGTACTTTTACACAATGGAATTCTATGCAGCAGAGAGAAAGAAGGAGCTCTATCCTTTGCAATAGCATGGATGGAACTGGAGAGCATTATGCTAAGTGAAATAAGCCAGGTGGTGAGCGACAAATACCAAATGATCTTACCTTTAACTGAAACATAATCAACAAAAGCAAACAAAATACAACCAGAGACATTGAAATTAAGAACAATCAGAGTGGCCAGAGTAGAGGAGGAAGGGGACAGTGGGGAGAAGGGTTTTAGGAACTACTATGAAGGACACATGAACAAAGCCAAGAGGGAGGGTGGAAGCAGGGGAGGGAGGTGGGTTTGGCTGGGGTGGGGGTGAGTGGTGCGGAGAAAATGCAGACAACTGTAATCAAACAACAATAAAGTAATTTTTTTTTAAAAAGAAGTGTTGATCAACAGATAAAAGAAGTTCTAGGAAAATCAGCCCCCAGACTGCAACTATTATCCAATTAACCTTTTTCTCCAAACCCCTCATCTACTCTTCTCATAAAAAGGTAGACTTCAGATGAGACATTAAGATGGTTTTTGAAGGCACATAACCTGTTGTCTTCTCAGATTGCAGGCATTCTAACAAAGCACTCAAAGATTCAATTCAATTCAATCTTTGTCTATACTTATTGGTTCTGGTAGTGTCAACTCAAATTGAAAAATATAAAAAAAGGAAAAACATAAGCACACTTAGTAATGAGAATCCCACATTCTAGAGCTGAGTAGCTGTGTCCCTTTTGTTAGAGTTTGCCACAGATCACAGCCTTACTCTTATTTGTCTTCTATCATTTGACTATACTCATTTACCTGACTGCACAGCCTGTGAGGGATTTGTGTTTGTCACTCTAGTTTTAGGCTTTCTGTTAGAGAGGGAAAGTCTCAGTGGTCTTGCCTTACTATCAATTTAATATCACAGGTTATGAATTCATTCCTATGCCTTGGCCTTCGCTTGCAAGCTGTAGGTTCATAGATACAAATGCCTTATTGACTCTACTTTTTAATAAGAATAGTAATAATCATATCTCATAATTATTGTTCATTTATTAAGTACCACATATTGAACCAAAGACTTTATACAATATGTGGTGTATTACCACACTTGTTCCTATATTAACATTAGAAAAGTATTATTACTTATGCCTGTTTGAGAGATGAAGTAGAAGTTCACAGAGGTAAAAAATCACACAGCTAGTAAGTGATGGGATCTGGATCCTAGGAGATCCTGTTAGTTGATCCGGTTGCAGAGCCCTAGTTCCTAACCACTCTGCTCTCCAGGATACACAATCATCTGCCTTTCAGTATTTTCAAAATGTAGTTAATTCCTTCCTTTAAGCCTGTTCCTTACAAGTATTCTTTAACCTACTGAGTAGTACTCTCGTACACTTAATTCCTCAAAACTGAAACCAGGGAGTAATCTTTGTTCATTCCTTCCTCTTATTCAGTCTACATATCCAATAAATAGGCAAGTCATGAACAAATTTTTTTCAACCAAATA